ATGTGGATATCGTGTAAAACTTGAATTGTGAGTATTACATGACTTTTTACCTTTTAACATGACCCATTACTTAACCTATTGCTGCTCTCCGTGAATGGAGCCATTTTTTTCGCTGAACATTTATAATGTTTATTCGTAGATAAAGCAAGATCCTCTTCTTCTTCTTCTTCTTCTTCTAAACATTTCGCGCAGTAACAAGGAGCCGCGCACGTGAACAGTGTAGGCCGAGAGGGTGCCCAAACGAGCAAATTCGTTTTTTTCCGCAGTGACAACACAGACGATTAGAGTAAAAAAAAAACTCCAATAAAACGGTACAAGCGTGCATATAAAGAAGTTAAGTTTAAAAAAAGTTGGTAAAGGTCGTATAGGTAGGTAAAAATGCATAAAATAATAATAAAAAAGGAACGGTTAAAAGGTGAGGCCTTCTTGAAATAGGAGTGTACAACACGTTCACTGCATTTCCACTATGAAATGTTCACGGGAGTAATATACTAGATAAGAGTTTGAAAGTTTGCGTTGACATGAAGCACTTACCGTAGGAGGACCCGTGTATAGCCACTCGATTAAGATCAATGAGGCCCGTCTGACGAGCTGCCTCCTTCAGAAACTGAACATGATCGTCCAGTTCGGGAACACCCTAGGAGTCAGGAAACCGATGTTGCAGTTAAAAGGGCAAGCAAATGTGCGCACCCAATTTACGACATTTAGTCTGTAAGAGAGATCTGAATGATCAGACTGCGTACGCAAGCATACTTACAAGCCTCAATTTGATATGGCCAGCAAAGGCGGCTCCGCGATTAGTGGAGCCACGACAATCACAGAGTAACACTGCGTACCCATAGTGACAGAGAATCTGAGCGCGAAAGAACCTGTTGGGATCAATAAAGAAAAAAACCACCAATTCAGCAACGGTGCCTGCACGTGAGGCCCAAGTGACAACTTTGACTGCCGCCGAAGAGAATGCAAGCCCATGGAATGATTGCTACTTAATGCGTTTCAGTAAGCATGCAATATTTAATCTCGAAAATGTGGCTGCTGGATGATTCGTTGCCCAGAATTGTGACTCACAATGGAGAGAAAATAAAGAGCACAGAGCAGCACTGCGTAGGCATAGTGACAGAGGATCTGAGAACGAAGGAGCCTGTTGAAGACAAAAAATTAGGAAATTGAAACCATCACATCAGCAGGGGATGGTTATCGCATTCGTTGGTTCTAGGGCCTCACGTCCAGAACGTAGGCAATGAACAGTCCTGCAGCCCCAATTGGTGGTTACTTGTTGGTATGGTTTGCATTCATTCAGGTAGTTATACACAGGG